GTGTGTGTGTGTGTGTGTGTGTGTGTTAGACTAGATAGCCAGGGAAGGATTCTTTGACAAAACAATGGTACAAAGACCTGAATGAAGTGAGAGGGCAACCCAAGCACTAGATACTTGGGGAAACAGTGGTTCAAATAGAGGTAACATCAAGTGCAAAGACCTGTGGTAGAATAGGGTTTATGGTAATTATGTTATAACCATTCTCTCTACCCTTCAATTGCTAAATCATCATTTATACTTTCTTTCAAAACATATTGAGGTACTGAGAATATAGAGATTGTCACTGGGGAGCTCATAAACTAGTAGAGAAGACAGACATATAAATAATTGATTGCAATACAATGTGATGAATGCAGTGGGGATTGTAAGCCTCAATGAGTGAAAGTCAGAGTTTTCAGGGAGATGTGGGTGTCAGGAAGGAGATCATGTGAAAACTGAGACACCAAAGACAGGTAGAAGTTAAGACAAACTAAAAGACAGAAGTAAGGAGGATGTGCTTGACAGATGTCAGGGGATGAGGAGTAGGGTAAGTTCCGGAAGGTTTTGCAGGAGTCAGGACAGAGCTGTATCCAGAGGTCAGATGGTGGGCAGTCCATTGACCTTAAGAATATCTTTGCACTTGACAACATAGACAACTAGGCACTACTGAAGGAAGTGGCATGGAAGACAGACTTCAATAGTTCAATTTGAATTACTGAGGAGGTCACTGAAATAATTCAGGCTATATAGAGTGGAGGCTAGATTAAATTGGTTTTGGGGCCATCAAAGGCAGAAAATCTTTTAAGAGCTATGTAGAAGGTAGACTTGATAGATGTGTGTGAGAAGGTGCTTCAGAGTGAGAGGGCCTCACACACACACACACACACACACACACACACACACACGAACACAGGAGCACATGTACACATGCATAAATTGTTAGCCAGTGCATGCCTGTGCACACTTTTTTTTTCTGCTAGACTCAATGCAGGAAAGCCATGGCTGAGGGAAGGAGGGAGGAGGCAGAGGAGGACCTAGCCAAGGGGGCTGGACAGAACTAGAGTCAGCCTCCTGCTCACAAGGATCCTCACAAGGATTCTTGATACTTGGGGCCCAGTTTTGCTGGCTTGAGGGTTAAGACTCAACAGGCTAGAAGCAGGGAGAAGGGGCAGGAGGAAACCATCCAGCCCTTTTTTCTTTGCCAATACCAGTCTCATTTCCTTTGAAAAGTCTGGGAGTGGAGGAAGAGAAATTTAGCGATCTAAATGAGCTTTAGGGATTATCTGGGGGTTCAATTATTTGTCTTGTAATTATAACTAACACTTGTAAGGGACTTCCCTTAGTAGTGATGATTGAGAGCTGGCTATAATTAACCATCCTGAGCCCATCCTTTCAAAGCTGATCAAAGGATTGTAAAATAGATCCTAAGGGAGTTGAGGCTGTTTTGTTACCTTTTCTCTTCCCTCCTCTTATCCTTCTTTCCCCTGTCCCACCTTTCCCCCTTTTATCTCCTCCCTCATCTACTCCTTCTTTTGTCATCTTCACTTTCTCCTTGCTGCACCCCTCTCACCTGGTTTCTTCCCTATTCTTTCTTATTTCTTGGTCTCCTGGCATGGGGGCTGGGAGTTCACTACAGTTGGACCTGATACTGGCAGCAGAGAAGAGGCCCACAGAGAGAGCTGGAGGTGATTCCATGCAGACACACCTCATTTTTCTTTTCTGCAGTGGGTGTGTTTCTATAAAAGGATTGAATATATCAAATCCTACTCTAAATTCCATGTAGCTGAGCCCTCAGGTGAATATTTTCTCTTTTTGTTGAAAATGGAGGCTCAAACCCAATTTATCTTCCTGTCAATCTGAGCTTTATAATAACTTTCTTAAAGCAAGCTACACCAGTATTGTCATTAATAAAGGGATTTTATTGGGAGCTGTATTAAACTATGGGCTCCCAAAGGGTAGAGAACATGATTTAATCTTATCTGGATCCCCTGACTTCAGCACAGGGCTGAAGAAAAGGGAGTGACATTTGCTGATAAAGAATGAAAAGAACTTTCTTCTCATCATAAAAGTAAAGTATTGGACTAGGTAAGCAGCAGGGGTCTTGGAAACATTGCTCCTTAGCATTTTTAACCTAGAAATGGCTTTTGCCTACACCTGGAGGCCAGTCCCATGTGTCTCTCAATGGCTTTTCTCAAAGCTCCAGTGCCAAGACTCCAAAGGCAAAGGCCGTGGAAAAGGATTTACTGAGCTTTACTTTGGATCTTTAACCCAGGTCATGAGACTGAAGAGGGCCTGCTCCCATCATGGAGGGAAAAGATTTTTCCTTGACCCAGGGCTTTTTTGAGTTAGAGCTAACAAGACTTAAACACAAGAACTAAATATAGCTAGCAACAAGCATACTAAGGCTTCGAGACTTTAATTTTGCCAAATATATATTTGTCTTCCTCACATGAAGCCTATTTTTAATCAATTGTCAGCTCCTTCAGTCTATTTCCTGGAAAGGAGGCCAAGAAAGAAGTGGGAACAAACATCAGGCAGTCAGTGGTACAGTATGACAGAAACAATTTCTACTGTCTCATGAAACCCACAGACCCTCTTTGATATCAGGGGCAGTGACGTCCACATAGCAAACATGCATTCTTGCATTTAGCTTTATGCAGGTAGGTGGCTTTCTCTAAGACACAGCTCGTGCATGCTTGCCCTGCAGAGTACCTCTGGCTTTCATCTACTCATCTTTGGAGAGGTCAAGTCATTATCTCTGGTTTTCAGTGTGTGGCCAAAAGGAAATTGAATGTGAACTATTTCTGCTGGTAATAAAATTATACAGTTTACTTCCATTCATTACTTCATTTGTTAAACTATTATGAAGCTCCCACTATGTGCCAGGGACATTCTAAAGGAAGAGGTAATCAACTAACACAGTAGCTTTTTCCTTACAGAACTGAGTTTAGAAAGAACATTACAGAGAAGGGAACTTAAATAATGTACAGAACTGATACCATGGAAGAGCTGCCCACTGCCTGGTCACAAAGAATGATTGAGTGGTTCTAGGCCCCCACTGATGAACAGAAGAATGCCATCCTGCCTTGTCCAAGATCTGCTTCCTCCTTCTTTATTAGGTGAGGACTGAAATACAGAGAGGTTATGTTTCCCCAAGCCAGCCCAGCAAGTTGAGAGCCAGGAGGTAGAAGCCCACATTACGTAATCAATTATCAATGCAACAATCAGTCTTTACACTCAGTTACTCATTCACTGAGTATTTACCTATGATCTTTAACGTTTCTACCACTCAACTAGGGAGTGAGGGACACACAAAGGAATGTAAGAAATGACCCTTGCACTCAAGAAGTTACAATTTCAGTCTGGTGTCATTGGTCGTAGCATAGTGCTCAGCACTGAGTAGGTTCTCAGTACATACCGGATTAGACTAATAACTGAATGCAATTGTGAATATATAACATGCCAAAATAAAAGGACCAAACTGAGGATATGGAAGGCCAGGGGAAAAGCTAATGAATGGGCACTGGAATCTTTGAAGAAGGGGATACTAAACTCATTCTTTCTT